AAAGTTGTATTCAAGTTGTTAATTTTGCATCCATCATCGAGCATCATATTTTGTATCTCGCATCATGTTAAACATGGCATTGTTACTACGTGTAGTGAACAAAGGTGAGCACGTGGTAGTTAATCAAGTTGTGGAGGAAGTTAATCCGCATGTTGAGGTCGGATTTGATATTTGTGGAACGACTCCGGAACCAGACTTTTCCGTGAATCAAGGCAAGCCCCGGATGCATCTAAACCTACCTTGTGTTTTACAAATTGATTTCGCTTTTGCTTTTCTTTACTGCATTAAGTGATTAGGAGTTAAGTGAAAACCTAATTGGTGCATTACCAACCTTGTTTTTTTCCATATCTACCTTGTTACTAGTTTTAATTCGTAATTGCCTAGTTATGCTTAGCCATGCTTAGACAGATAAAAGTCGGGTGATTACCTATCACCTGCGAGTTTTAAATGGATCTTTGGTTACGTTTGGTTACTTATGTGATCATGAAATTTGAGCATGTGGAGTAATAAATCTAGACCAGACGGACTCGGTGTAGGGGAGCCACAAGACATGGAGGTCTTGTGAGTGGGTTCTTTCCGCCTGTGTCGATTAAGGTCCGTCCATTGTTGAACTGTGTGAGATGAGACTTTGTAGTACTAACCACATACTCCAATAAGCCTTAACTTGGCGATTCTAATACGAGAATGGCTACTCGCGCACTGGGAGTGGAGAGATGGCGGGAATAGCGTGTACCCACGTGGCAATGAGCTGGATTGGTGGAGTACTGTATTCTCAAGTGGCGCGGACCCGTTCTTGTTTTAGAGGATCCGAGGGTAGGTTGATATATGTAAGTCGGGGACCTGCATATGTCGTGTGGTCTAGAATTCCCAGCTGGGTTTTAATCGGTTCGAATCGTCGTTGCTCCTCGGTTATGGAGACTCAACTCTCTGTTCATCACCGTAGTTTAATAACTGAAACTTGAGTATGGTTTGAGAAAGAGTTTGATATGAAGTTCATGATCTCATTACGGATCATGGCAGATTCATATGTGGTTCTTATAAAGTTTTATATGTTGAAGTAAAGACTTTTGTTAAAGAGCTTTTACGCAAAAGAACTTGGATTATTGCTAAAGCCATATCTTGAATCCCTGAGCCTGCATTTCTGAGTTCTATCAATTTCTATTTTGGTTAAGTCTTGTTGAGTACTTTTGTACTCAGGGTTCGTTGACCCTTGTTGCAGGTGAGGCTCATGAGTAGGTCTGCTTTGGACCGTGCTGCATGACTGTTGTTCAATGCGATGACGATAAGTAAATGCGTGGCCCTTGGGTAGGGCAATCTATTTGTGTGTTTGTATTATGTTATAATGCCACTCCACTACTACGTTTTGTAATAATTATCGAACTTAGTTGTAAGGTTTGAAACTACTGTTTTGTAAACTAAGTTATTGTAAGACTTCCGCTGTTTTACTCTGGTGTAGATATTTGAATAAATGTTGTAATACTGCAATGACTCTGTAATATGATCCTGCTCGGAAATCATGGATGATTCGGGGTTCCCCGAGGACACCCGATAGTCTTCTTAAGTTACCTGGAACATATGCATAGTTGTCAGAGGTCGTTGGACAGTGACAGGTGCATGTGGGCCCAATAATTTAGGAGGTTCTGCCACAGCTAGGTTTTGGTCAGTCCGGTCAATGGAGGCCAGTAGATCGTTGTTGTCGATCTGCCTCCTTAGATAGCGGGGGAGCTGGCGGCGAATTGGTGCTGAGGATGGTCCCAAAGGCTGAGCAGAGTCGGCCCTCTTGTCCGGAATGATGGGAGCATCCCAAGTTGCGCCCTCTTGGCAATGAAGGCGCTGGCGCGATGATGCAGATCCGTTGAGGGCCTCCTCAGCAGACCTCTTGCAGTTCTCCGTGATCTCAAACCTACGGAAAAAGCAGGAACTATACTAAGGACGCAGAAGGTTTGAGACAAAGCGGGTTGTTTTTTGATCCACAGCCGTGGCCCGTATATATAGCCCGAGAAGGCGAGAAGATAGATTTTGCCGGGGGTGTGAAATTGAAATTAGATACAGAAATGGATCGACACTCTGGAAATTCAGGGGATAGATAATGAAGAGATAACAGATTCGGACTTATTGCTTCCCCAAATTACAAAAATATCGTGGGACAGATATGAAGAATTTACATTGACCATAGATTAACCCACCAGGGCTTCTTTGGATTGAAGGGAGTTCAGGTCCCCACAAGACCAAAGGTCATTGTGAACTGAGTCACATCGGCCCGTTGATAAAATTATGCCAGGAGAAGGGGAAAGGCCGCCCGCCTAACAGATGCCCAGCTAATTTCTCGGTAACTAGGAAACTGTGGGAAAGAAGCCTGTGGCTTTCCCGGTGGGCGTTTGGTGGAACAAACAAGGGGAAGGTGTCCATATATTTTAGTCCTTGCAAACACTAGAATAGCTCTATGAGCATGGAGAGAAGACTCAGGTGATATCACAAGAATTTTTCTAACCACAGTAGTTGATCTTCTTGCTCGACAAGGCGCTAGAATGAGCGACACAATCACCCTATGCACAAGAATTCTTCTAACCTCTAAAGATCTTCATAGCAAAAGGATAGACCATGGAGGGTCCGACGGAGTCAGAAGCACTCGAGGGGGCAGATGGAAGAGAAACATGGCTAAATTGTTGAGTTGCTCTCGCTAGGGTCGGATAGACATTTTATAGCTACCTAGAAAGATGAATCCAAGTGTCCGTGAAGCAATGATGCTCTCATAAAAGTTTTGAAGCATGGCTCATGAGCTGACATAGACGGCGACAAATAGTAGACCCTAGATCAAGATTCTCTACCCGTGACTGTGGACCTATTGGGGATACAGACGTGATAATTTTAGAATAAAATTACTTTTATCCCAAAATTGGGGGGCATGTGTTTACACCAAAATTTGAAAGAAGAATCGCAGGGACTCGAAAGCTTACAAGATCATATCATCAAGGAATCAATTGTGTGCAGATCGGTATCAGCTGATTCGAATACAACACTGGAATCGACTTTCTTCAGATAGCGCCAGCAGATAACGACAAAGGCTACGATCGGCGCCAGGACAAAGCATGTTGGACTCTACAAAAAGGAAAAGATTAGAGTCCAAGTTATCTTAAAATAGGAATATTTTCTCTTAGGCCAAGAAATTGTAATGAGTCTTGCTTAAGTAGGATTCATGCGTAGGTTCCAGATATAAATATTGGAATCCGGCTATTGTAAAGGACACAATCAATCAAATACAAGTTACTTACTTTTTTCAGCTCCGTCTACCCCTTAGGAGTAGGAGTAGAGTAGATCTTGGTGAGTTCTTCAGCAAGTACGGCTGCATCGATCTAGTCGACCTCCACTGCTTGTCTGTAAGTACCGTCATGACTTATACTTCTGTTCGTACGGCTACATCGATCCGGTCGACCTCCACTGCGACTCTGGTATAAGTTAGTTATCGACTCTTGTCTAGTTCAAGTAAGGATGCATCGATTCGGTCGATCTCCACTGCTCGAACTAGATTAAGGTCAAGTTATCGACTCTATCTAAGGGTGGCGTTTCTTCAGATAGATTCATTAAGTTACCGATATTGCTTATTGCTTCCATTATTTATTTGATCACATCAATATCACTTTGCCCGATTGGGATTGATCTAGATCGGCCTTATATCCTTTTTAACCCATCGTTTGTTCATCTAAATTTGATCTAATCCGCACTTTAAACAATGAGTTATGTTTTATCGGCCGTTTTATGTTAATCTTGATCGCGCATAGTGTGCGGTTAAGGCATATTTTGTCTTGAGTAGATCTATTGGCTAGTGAAAACCGTTCCATGGCCCGTTATCACGGCCTATGTGATTCTGCCTCACACACCCACTGTTAGCACCGTGGAGTGGGGATCGTTATTTGGTAGATCTATTCCTGATAGGGCATGACCTTAATTGTGCGCTATGCCTGAATCGACTGTTTTAGCCGATATCGAGTACTTTCACGAACAGTTCACGTCACGAAACCGTTGAAGTAAGGATATGTTGAAAGATGTGTTAGCCCCATGATCTTATTATTGTGTTACGGCCTGCATGATTCTGCCTCATGCCCCACTAATATTAGTAATAAGTTAGGGTATCGAATCTATTATTGTTTTTACGGCCTGCATGATTCTGCCTCATGCCCCACTGGTCATAGCGATAGATGAGATCCAATATGTTCATTAGATTTATCTTTATTAAATGGTTAAATGATGATGAGCTGTTTCTTTTATATAAAAAGGGATTCGGTTACTTGCAGTCATTGGCTTAGCATAAATTAATCATTGCTGACATCTTTTTGCCATTGACTAATGTTTGTCTAAATAACGAGATCTATCCTGAGCGACAACTGATTTACCTTCCATAATTCCATAAGCTTTTAATTGATTTATTCTTATGAGTATGCTAGAATCGACTATTTAGTCGATTTCCTTCCATATCGGCTCTTAGAGCCGCACATTCGTGACTGTCTGGCAACACCGGTATGTTCCGCCTTAAATTACTGATTAGCTTTATCTCCTTGTCAATTGTAGGGTCAAATTGACTGGCACGTCTCAGGAGGAGTACGTAGGATCGACCATCCCTGCGCTGAAGCTAGGCGGATCTCCAGCTCCATCAAGCGGACCCTTCCGGCTTGCTCATGTGCCCTCGGCACAGGACGAAATTTCGTGCCGACAAATATACCTTTACCTTGAGCCTTTTTGTTTTTCTCTTTCTTCTTTTCCAAGTCCGAGCACTTGATCATCACCATGGCCTCCACCATCATCATGATCTTCATCCATTTGCTCCATCGCTTGGAATGTGCTACCCTATCTCAAATTCACTTAGAGCAAAGGGTTAGCACTTAGGGTTTCATCAATTCACCAAAATCAAACTAGAGCTTTTAAGAAGGGAGCTGGGTTTTCACAAATTTGCCACCTATCGAGCCCATCAATAGAGGTGACAAAGTGGCGAACGAGCCGACACTTCAAGCCTTTACAAAGGCTGCAAGCTCGCTAGTGGGTGCAAGGACGAGTGCTCGTAGCTTGGCGTCGCAATCGAACGAGCCCCTGTCCCACTGGCTATACCCATACCCGCTCCCTCCTCCCATCGGTGCCACCAGGCCACTCACGATGGGGAGGCAGAAGGCAATCATCTTCCCAGACCAAGCCACTTCAAACCCGTCGGCGGGGGCCAGCGCGCCCTCCCCGCTCACCTCCACCAGGATTTTGTACTTGTCAAACCGCCTCTCCCCGTCGCCGCCGATCTCGAGCCCATCCACCGCCACCGCCTCGGCGAGCATGCCCACCCTCGGCATGCGGTCGTGGCCTCTACCTCTACTGCCCCGCGAGAGAGGACTGGAACCATGCTCCACGGACCACAGCTGTCGCCACCGCCGTACGCCGCTATTGGTGGCCTCTTCAGCTACCACCCACTGGGGAGCGGAGGGGGGCTAGGAGGGGACGAATGTCGCTTCCTTGTGTCTGGGGGCTGGGGCTTTGGACGATCCCAGCATGGAGCTCTGATGCTAGAAAAGCACGGCCCAAACAGTGCTAGGACTGGCAAGTAGTACGTGGTATCGCCGATGCCCTTGCCCTGCTGTTGTACCTGTTTTAGGCAAATTATTAGCTCACTTGCTCCAAAGGCCAAACACTAGCCATGCAACCGACCATTGACATTTTTGACTGGTCGTGACCCGACAGACCTTATGTGAACGAGAACACAGAAAGAATCCAACCAAGGGCTTGTTCGGTTCCTAGGAACCGTAGCCTGGAACGATTCCTAGCCGGATTGCTTGTCTAATTTATATAACTTTGATGAGCTAGAATATTTCTGGGAACAAGCAAGACTGGCACGCAGCCACATGGACCACTGAAAAAAAAAGATGGAATACAATTTTTTTTCTCCACAGAAAATACTCGACCTGCTCACATGTATGAAACCATTCAAAAGATGAGATGGTAACTTCAGAGTGCAATGCACACATGTCATGCTTTCTCCTCAGGCAACCATTTGATGTAGTAGAAGAGACCATGTATAAAAACCTAATGACAAACAAAAAATATCTCAATCTGAAGAAGTCATAGGAAGGGGTTGGGGACGCAGAAATTTTGCCCCCAAGGGCATATGCCCTCATGCGCACTACCGTTAGATGCGCATGGCGATGCGTGCACAACTATCTCTCTCCTATTGCGCGCTCTTTTCCATGTGCATCTTTCTTTGAAATGGTAACACAAGAAATCCCTGTGATTGCATTGTACAAAAATAAGAAGTTTATTACCATCTTGTTAGAAATGAAAACAAAATATAACGTACTACTACTACATGATTGGGCATGAATGAAATTTTAGACATGTTCCGAACTTTTTTTTAATCAAATGTAGTTTCTTTCTGTGTTCTTTTTATTACTATTATTTGCAATGTTTTCAGCAACCTCTTAATACTCATGGTGTATTTTCTTTCTTCTTCCCAAAGTAATAATGTATATGAAAATGTAAATAATGTAATATGATATGTAATTATATCTCGACGCGAAGTTTGTAGGATAGGATATAGCCAAGTTTTGAACTGGAAATAAGCTTGCCTTCAAGCTGCGCCCTTGCAGGAGCCGGGGGTCTCTATGCATGATTGAGCTGGGGGGTCATATCCTCACCTTCCTCTTGGCAGCTTCTGATGAATTCAACCAAGACACCACTCTTTATTAGCTAGCCAGCGGTCCTTGCAGCACACGGTATATATTGCATGTGGCGCAGAGAGCATCAGTGTGTGATCTGCATGTTCTGTGTTCATGTCTGACCGTCTCCTTTGCATTCATGAACTGACATGGCCTTCTGGCCACGCACTCCCAGTCCTGTAGTATCTCTCATGCTCTGGACGTGTCTCCCTTTTAGCCCTTTCTTTGCTTACTACGGTATTACTTTGTCTCAAAAGACAAGGGACAGAGCCTAGTGGCAGCCAAACTAGGCTCGTCCCCCCCCCCCCTTGCCGTGTGAATATTTCTATTGGTTAACTTATGTATGCATGGTACTTCACTGGTTAATTTGCATGTTAACATTTATGGATGCATGCATTTCTCTCTTTACTTTAGTTGTCTATTCCTTGATCCAGCAATTGTAAAGCTTTTTTAATATACTATTACTTTCTCTTAATGTAGCAATTGAATGGCCCCTCCTTCACTCTACCTCGCCCTCCGCCACTACAAAAGACAATAAATACGTACTTGCTACACCATTTCATGCATATTGCTTGCGTTGCGTCTACCCCGACTCCCAAAGCAGCTTTAGTGTAAAGTTACGTCTCTCAAAGAAACAAAAAAAGCGACCTAGAGGATTCAATCACTCCACAAAGACAACAATTAGTGCAAAAGTATTTAACAGCATCTGTTGGTTTAGGCCAACAAAACGAGGGTGAGGGAGCGAAGGAGTAAGATGGGAGAGAGCCAACTGAGCGGTTGGGCCAAAGGTGCCTCTCCACCTCCCCCTCTCCCCCTTTTATAGGAGAGGTGGGAGAAGAGATTCTCTTTATGCTCCTAGTAGGGTTTGTATTTACAGAAATGCCACTGAGGACTACAAATGGATCCATGGTGGAGTTTGTATTTACAAAAAAGCCACAAAAAGATATAAATAGACCCCCCCCCCAAATGTTGTTCTGTGGGCCCTAGGATATGTAATTGGGCCCTGAACATGATAGCGGGGTCCCCAACATATGATGTACCCCCAACAGCGTCGTCAACAGCATGGTTCGACGCGGATGCTCGTAGGCTTATAGCTTTTTCTTAGATCGGCTAGACGGAGTCACGATCTAGTTCATTCTCATGCCAACATCACCGTTGACCCGGTCTTTGCTTCCTTCTAGTCTTTGCTTCCTGCTGCCTCTGATTATATTCCTCGTCAAATACTAGCTGACCCTTAGGTAATGTTGTTTTTGCCCCTAAGGGCATATGCCCTCATGCGCGCTTCTTTATCTAATTTGTTTCCTTTGCTTTTGACCTAGTGGGTCCATATTAAAAGACTAGGGTCGTGCCATTTGGCACTTGCACTCAACCATAGAAACTTAGCAAGGGGATATTCATAGAAAGGTTTTTTTGACAAGCTTGCCTTTCATTCACATAGAACCGGCCGAAGCCTCAAACATCACCAGGTCCCTCACACACACCGGAGTTACATGACATATCTATGATCTATGTGTGTGTTGACAGTAGTTATCATCTATCATGAACCATCAATAAAACCAATATAAATTCATAAAAATGATCACCAACACAGGTTTAGGGGTTTAAACTAACAAATTCTATGAGTTTTGGTGAATCTGTGTTTTCAGCAGGGTTTATCCAGAAAACTATCAAGGTGGACCCAAACGTCAGAATTAATCATAATTATCCACGACGAAAACAACTCCAGAAGGTTCTAGAGGACACCAGAAGTCACCCCAATGAAGCAGAGAGGGGGTGACTGCCAGGTGCAGGCCGGTCGGCCATGTGGGGCCCCTGTCAGCCTCCCGTTGTGACGTCAGTTCTCCACCGCCTTAGGGTTTGCATCTACGCCGTTCTTTTAAGTCGGTTTGATCTGAGGGCTCAGGATTGACGCTCCTCCCTATATATATCAGTCCCTACCACCACCCCGGGCATAACCCTGGTCATCAAGTCATAAGTCAAGAACATATCAGAAATTAGGGTTTCCAGAGAGAATAGAATAGATCTCCAATTCTTCAAGTTCTAGTAGAGGCTAGCTAGCAAGATTCAAGTAGAGTTAGGCTATTGCTTAGGATTCTGGATTCGCCGTCTGGAGGTTGGTAAAGCCATTGTATCCTCTATATTTTGTGACTTTATGCTATTTCAATACTATGTTTCTATTTATTATGTTCCTAGTTTGCTTTGGTAGTATGCTTGATATAGTCATGATTGATAATGAATTTATGCATGAGTTCGCAAAGCGCTTAGCTCAATACTCGAGTGAGCTAAGTGGTCGACATTATGTAAGCGTGGTGCTTAAATATTGTTTACTCACGGATGCACTCTACATTATGGGCCATGTGGTAGATCGCGAGTGTGACACTCTCGTTGAGTCCTCTGTAGTCCACTCTCCGTTTGTAGAACAAGTAGGACTTGGTTGCCAAGGGAATCAAGCTCTGTTCTTGATCTTCCTTAGTAATGTTCCTTATGCCTAGATGCAGAGTTAATTATGCTATAGATGAAAGTATATATACTAGAATGTACGAAAGACTTAGTAAATAAGAAATGACTTAGGAATCTTTTCTCTTAACTAATCTCTTGCCTAGCCATACTACATTTATGATTATCTATTTCTATCTCTGCATTATTATTATTGATGCCTTACACTTATCATTTATATATCATCTGACTTACCCCTGTTAAAGCAAATGTGTAGTTAATGATCTTATCATAAGTATTCATGTTTGTCAATATCTCTAGCCACCGCTCCTTCCTGTGGAAAAATATTAATAACGATACATGATATACTCCCGGATGAAATGTTATAATGGTATATTACATGTGCGCTTGCGGATTACTTCAACATATATAATCTTTCCTGAATTTACAAGTGTTACTAATAAAATACCAATAAACATTTCTGACATCATTGCTATGGATGACAACTTAGCAAGAGTAATGTTAAGAAATGTCAACAGTGTGTTAGAGACCTGCCTAGCTAAAATTTGCGCAACATTATTACTAGGAATAAAAGAAAACAAGAACTCTTGAAATGCAAGAATGATCTCTTCAATCTCTTGTAGTAACGGGCCTATGACAGATCGTTGTATCGTCCGTTTGTCCCATGCTTGAATAAGCTCAAGGCAGGCAGTCTCCAGGTGAACACGATTCAGACCTTGCCTCTTAGCAACATTATTTAAAATTGAATTTGAATCCTGTTTTCATGATTTAAACACAGACAAATAGATGCATGCAGACTTCAAATGTTTCAGGTAGAGAAGAACATACACAGACACATATATACATATCGCATTCGTGGCTCGTTATCATCATAGCACGAACAAGAAGTTACATTTCATACGAAACTAAGACTTCAAATGTTTTCTTGTCCGCTACTTTCTAGTTATAAAAAATCTGCCTCATCTTGTTATCCTCTAACTTTAGCTGCTCCTAGTTTCTTACCTTCTCATACTTTTGATCCCACGTGAAGTCACTCTCGTGGTTGAAGTACTTTCCGTTTTGATGCACACATTTGTGCATGACGATGCCACAGATGTCTGCTACTTCTCGGTGACCCCTCTTTTGCCACCAGCCTTGTCCATTCACTTGCTGTTTGTAGCTAATGTTGAATTTCTCAAACTCTCAGA